CGCACAGGGGAAGATCTCCAGCTAGAGGATGACATTTCCAACACCAACCCCTGAGGAAAGCCCTGCCTTCTTCTCATGCTCAGCATCCACACACTTAGAAACAAGAGCTAATCGTCTAACAAGGTGTGTTTTTTTTAATTTAAATCATTTTATTGGGGGTTCATACAACTCTTATCACAATCCATACATACATCCATTGTGTCAAGCACATTTGTACATTTGTGGCTGTCATTCTCAAAACATTTGCCTTCTGCTTGAGCCCTTGGTTTCAGCTCATTTTTCCCCCTCCCTCCCCATTCCTCCCACCCTTGATAATTTATAAATTATTATTTTGTCATATCTTACACTGTTCAAGGTCTCCCTTCACCCAGTTTTCTGTTGTCCATCCCCCAAGGAGGAGGTTATATGTAGATCCTTGTAATCCGTTCCCCCTTTCCACCCCACCCTCCTTCCACCCTCCTGGTATCGCCACTCTCAGCACTGGTCCTGAAGGGATCATCTGTCCTGGATTCCCTATGTTTCCAGTTCCAATCTGTACCAGTGTACATCCTCTGGTCTAACCAGACTTGTAAGGCAGAATTGGGATCATGAAAGTGGTGGCAGGGAGAAGGGTGGCAGGGGGGGCGGGCAGGAAGCATTTAGGCACTAGAGGAAAGTTGTATGTTTTATCGTTGCTACACTGCACCCTGACTGGCTCGTCTCCTCCCTGCGACCCTTTCATAAGGGGATGAGAGACTATTTTCAACATAAAACAAAAGCCCTCATATCTGAACCAGTAAGCAACATCATGATAAATTAAGAATTGATTGAAGTGAAGGACTATTTTATTTGGATCCCCAATCAATGCTTATGGAAGCAACAGTCAAGAAACCAAATGACATGTTCTCTTCGTCAAATATGCAAAAGATTTCTTTTAAACTATTTTTAAAAACAAAGGTGTTACTTTGAAGACTAAATTGCTTCTGATCATGATATTTTTAGTTGCCTCATATGCGCAGGACAGTTGGTCCATGAATAAGGAAGGTCCAAGATGAACCGGTGCCTGGATTATGATGCTGATGATGGGTATTGACTATACCTTGGGGTGTCGGAAGAACAACCAGATCTGTACTGTAAGAAATACAGCCAGAATTCTCCTTAGAAGTGAGGCTGGCAAGACTTTGTTCCTTGTGCTTTGAACATGTTATCAGGAGGGCACACTCCCAGAGAAGGACTGCATGTTTGGTACAGGAGAGAGCCAGATCCTCAAGGAAAATAATTGGCATAGTGGCTATAATAATGTACTCGAATATGACAACAATCGTGAAGATGGTGTGGGACAAGGCAGTTTGCTGTGTTGTCCATAGGGTCTAGCTGAGTTGGAACCAAACAGCGTGACCCTGAGACATGAATTAGCATGGTGTTGCATGCCCTTGCGTGATAGGCGACCCTGTGGGAAAGACTGCAACGCCCTCATAGGGTTCTTTCCAGGAGCATGTTCCCAAGTCTCTTCTCCTGCGGAGTGCCTCATGGGTTCAGATCACCAGCCTTTCAGTTAACACCCAGCACCTGCCCTTTGATTCACCAGCACTCCATGAGTTAGTATGCATGAACATTACTTCCATGTTCCATCTGCTGAGAGTAGTGAAGCAATTAACTCCCAGCAACTATGAGCATATCTAGCATTCTGTATGTCGTTGTTCCTTGGAGAAGTGTTGATTTTAGAGTGGTAGCAGAAATTGCACAATTAATCAGAAGTCCCAGAGGATGAAGAGGTGAAAAGGATAAAGAAGTGCAAACAGTTACGGGAGTCAACCTTTCCTCAAGAACTCTCAACTGCCCAAACATAAGCAATTTGATTAATGAGATAAAACAAGACCTGTGTTCATAACTGACATAAATGAATGATTGAACATATAGAAAAGAACAATCATAATTAATAAATGAAAAAGAAATAAAATAACAATTCACTATTAGAATGCAGTAATAATTTGTGGGATACAGCCCCCACAGTCAAAACGGGTCCTTAGGAGCGACATGTGCAATTCAGGAAAATAAAAAGATAGAAAAGATGGGGGACACAGAAGTCTCATCTCCAAGTGTGCAGCACCAGCCTCCACATCCAAATAAGGCCTAGCGGGCAATTGTGTAATTGAAGAGTAAATCAAAGGGACATCTATCAAGACATACAAGTGCTCACCTCTCCCATGATGACCAGAACCAGAGTGATGGGCGAATGTGTTCTTTCACAAGTTTATATAATCTCAGGTATGCACGCCATGCCACACACGTGTGTAACAGGAAGGGGTTGGATTAGAGGTATACACATACCAGGAGGGGGACCAGTTAGAGGGTATACATGAAATAGGAAGGGGAAGTACTGGAGGCATGTGACATAATGGTAATAGGTAACAAGTTAAATGGTGGCCTAACCTTGGACCTCTCTGAGCTGGCTTGGCATTAGGTATCCCTGAACTCTTCTCCAGGGAAACAATGTTATGTCCTCATCAGAAAGGAGTGGGCCATACTTAGGGTCTGATTGCTTTTGATGGCAGATAACTTCAGGCAGATAACCTTCAAGCAGTTAATCTTTAAACATATAGTAAGCAACCATGTGCTTACAAGCAGCACCTTAAAATTGGCTTTATTACAGGGAGGACATTGGGGGGAACAACTTTTACTTAGCAAAATGTGAGTGGGATGTATCTCTAACCCAAGAACATGAAGACCTCCCTCCATGGGAGTCTTGACCCTCCCAGACTCATTAAAATATGAGTGTGGGAATTGGTCCACGTACGCTGCCTAGCTGGTTCTCTGTTTCCAAAGTGTCCAAAGAAGAGAGTAAGTTTACTTGATAGTGAGATCATACAGTCACGAAACCTGGAACCTCCAACAGGCACAGACTCAACAGAATGGGCAAAGTGTGAATCTGGGACAGCCTGGGCTCTTTAAGAGACCTTCATGATTAAGGATGGGACAGTTAAGAAACAAAGGAAGCATTTGGGTCCTTGAGTGATAGGGACAAAAGTAATCTGGCTGCTCCTAAAGATAGGTATCTCTTAGCTGCAGCAAGGAGCCAGGCACCTGGAGGCTTCATATTTGCATATTAGTGAAGGGCAGTTGTGGAGATGTCTTTCTATAAGGAGAATATGGATTTGGAATTATCCCTGTCTGAGAACTGAGGAGGCATTCTTCTTGACACTAGTGCTGGTCTTCCAAGCCCTGTGGTCATGAGTCTAGAGATTAGGCACTCATTCAGGTTCTCCGTTTCCCACGATGAAGGTTGTAGGCAAAACCAATAGATGTTTTCGTTAGGTTCCATCATTCCGACTCATAACGACCCTAGGTCCGACAGAACAAAACACTGCCCGATCCTCCCAAGGACTGTTACGTTCCAGCCTGTTGTTGCAGCCAGGGTGCCTGTCCATCTTGTCAAGCCTCTTAACTCTCTCGCTGTCCTCCGACTTTACCAAACAGAATGGCCTCGACAGCAACAGGTGGATGCTACAGTTAGTGACAAGAGGTAAAGGAAAAATGGGATATTTAAATAGTCTCAAGATGTCTTTCCCTAAAATAAATTGTTGATTACATGGGGGAGGGGTGGTGGTGGTGTAATTTTGCAACGAATAATTTTGGAAGACTGAAATAATCACTGGTAATGAGACATAGAGACAGAATGCCCCTTCTGATACCATGTACTAAAAAAGGTCACATTACCTTGGCAATACACTTTCAAAAATCATTTAACCTGTAACTGTGAGAACACATCGTGCAACCCCAAATAGGTGGACATTGGACATTGTACAAGCTGCTTACCAGTATTGTCCCAAAGTGTCAGGGTCATAACAACAAGGACAGAGGCCATGGGAGATTAAAGGTACATGTCAATGAAAAGCATTTTGGGATTCTGGATTAAATCCTGAAACAGAAAAAGTACATGATAGAAAAACTGATGAAATGCATGTAAGATCTTTAGTGTTAGTTAGTGGTGCTGTACTAATGTTATGTTCTTAGTTTTGGCATGTGTACCATATTTGTTTGAGACCTGGGAGAGGGTGTGAGTTGGCTCTCTTTTTGCCACTGCTCTCTTAGTGTAAGTTATTTAATAATAAAAAGATTAACATGCATAGCAAAACAGAGCCTAAAGGAAATGGTATTCAGGTTGGGCATTTAGCTCACCTTCTAAGAAATAGAAGGTAGGATTCCTCCTACTGTTTTACAAAAATACAAACTACAAAAAGTTTGATGTTAAGAAAGCATAGCATAGATTTATAAAGATCTTTAATAAACTGAAAAATTACAACTGCTCAGGGTAGTTTTTTAAAGAAACCATGAAGCACCTTCATGGAAAGGTCAAACTTTTCCATATGTCATAGGTCCCTAAGCTTATTTTACTGACTCCCCCTTTTCGGGAAAACTCAGTGTACCCCCACACCCCCAACAATTTAAATGTCTTATACTATAGTCCATAATCCTGGATAAAGTGTAGGTATCTGCTTTTCCAGCCTTCTGGCAGCATTCCAGTGCCCGTGGGGGTGTAGGGGGAGTGGTGCATATTGCCTACTTTGGGAAGCTATGCTTAAAGTTAAATATAGATGATATATATAGTTCAATATATATATATAATTTTCACGTTAACCTACAGCAGTGCTTCCCACAGTAAGTAATATATAATACTCTTCTAGTTGGAGGTATGTGAATATATCTGTAACAAAACAGGAAATCATTTCATTAACATTTGAAATAGGAATTCTAGCCTAGTGTCATTGTTAAATAATCAGCCTCCCACACATTTTATACCATTAGCCTACATGTAAGCCTGCTTCTGGATTAAGGACTTACTTACCAGTGATGTCTATGAAGGTCCTTTTCACATATTGACAAAGAAGCTTGACGTGCAAGTACAACGAGAACACATGCAGTAAGAGGTTATTTCCAGGGTGTACATGTTTCCTAAGTGTTTCAGAGAGAAGGGGTGTTTCATTCATCTTTTCTTCTTTATTAACTTACTTTGTTTCCCTGTCTCATTTCCTTAATTTGTGTTTTCGTCATTGAAGTTATTTTATTCATTTAAAAACTATATTCATATGATAAACTATTATTTAAAACTTATTTATTAACAAGCGTTTGCATTCCTGTTCGAACACTATGGTAGCTACTGTGGGAAGTAAAGTATATAAGAATTTCTGCCTACTGAAAACTAAAGCGGAGTATAAGTGGTTACATGTGACCAAGTGTGATAAGAATGAGATGGGGAAATAGATGTATGGATATATATTTATAGGTTTAGTGTTAAGGTAGCAGATGGACGGACATTGTACCTCTACTTCAGTACTCCCTCAATGCAAGAATACTTTTTTTCTATTAACCTGGTGTTCCATGATGCTCACCTTCCCGACATGATTACTGAAGACAAAGTGGGGTGCATTAGCAAATGTGGTGAAGAAAGCTGATGGTGCCGGCTATCAGAAGATTTAGTGTCTGGGGTCTTAAAGGCTTGAAGATAAACAAGTGGCCATCTAGTTGAGATGGAACAAAGCCCACATGGAAGAAGCACTGTGTGATTATGAGGTGTTGATAGCATCAGGTATCAGGTATCAAAGACCCAGAACAAAAAATCATGTCATTGTGAATGAGGGGGAGTGCGGAGTGGACACCCAAAGCCCATCTGTAGGCAACAGGACATCCCCTTACAGAAGGGTCTCGGGGAGGAGACGAGCTAGTCGGAGTGCAGCTTAGCACCAAGGAAACATACAACTTTCCTCTAGTTCTTTAATGCTTCCTCCCCCCACCCCCCACCCCCCGAACCCGACTATCATGATCCCAAATCTGGCTAGACCAGAGCATGTACACAGTTACAGATTAAGAGCTGGAAACACAGGGACTCCAGGACAGATAAGCCCCCTCAGGACCAATATTGAGAGTAGCCATACCAGGAGGGGAAGGGGGAGGTGGGGGGGAGATAGAGGAACCCATCACAATGATCTACCTATAACTCCCTCCCAAGAGGATGGACAACAGAAGGTGAGTGAAGGGAAACGTCGGTCAGTGTAAGACATGAAAAATTAATGATTTATAAGTTATCAAGAGTTCATGAGGGAGGGTGGGGGGAAAATGAGAAGCTGATACCAAGGGCTCAAGTAGAAAAAAAAGTTTTGGAAAAGATTATGTCAACAAATGTACAAATGTGCTTGACACAATAGATGGATGTATGGATTGTGATGCATAGTACGAGCCCCCAATAACATGACTTCTTTAATAAGAAAGAGAGTTAAGATGCAGTCTAATCATTTTTCTCAAGCATGTTCTCATGGCGGTCTGTCAGCGAGGCCACCGTAGAGCAGATCAAGTATTGGGTGGAATAGGAGGTGGCTTCACTTCCTGGCCTTTGGAGATTTTGAAAGTCTTTCTAGTCGTTTTAAGTTAATTACAAGTATAGGATCCCAAACAAATTTATGTTTATATATCTGGTGCATACATAATCTTCTCTTTAGCATTCCAGATAATTGCCAGTATCCAAATTATATGTCTTTCTTAAAAAGTAAAATAAAAGTGTGTTGATGAGTACCAGTAGCCCTAGTAACTCTCTTGTATCCCTCTTTTGTGCCTGAATGCAGTCGGAGGAAGAGGAGTTGGAGTTGGTGAGTGTGGGTTTCTGCTTGGAAAAGGCTGAGAGATGTAGAAAGTACTAATTCTCTAAAATGTTTTTTCAGTGTTCCTTGTGTTACGCAATTTTTTCAAATCACACTGCTGACTGAATAGCTAGAGCACTTCTCAATGAGTAGCTAAAGCAATCTATTGGTGGTACAGAATCTAATTTGTCTGTCTGTGAATGCATATGTTGACCTACTTCATTTGTTGGAGGGAATATTGCGATAGATCCTTGAGAATCAAAAGCTTCTTTATGAGCATAGGATACTTGTGAAAGGTTTTTTTAAAGAAAAGATATAATACACCTTGTTTAATTGACCAAATGTAAAAAATATTTTTAGAAAATGACTTCACCCTTAAAAGTTCTTAAGATTGTAGCACACAGTCTTGTGCTTGCTTTCTTTCAAAGGATTACATCATTTTTGATGAGGTCACCTTTTTAGAGTTGGAATTATTTCATCCGACATGAGAAGCTCTGAATCACAAGGGGATTCCTTGTTTACTAAGAGGAATAGTTATAATTGAACATACACAAACCTGAAAAGAAAAGAAAATACACAAACCTTTTTAAAATCAAAATAGATTTATTCTTAAAGACATTTCTTACCACCCCTCCCCTAAATGGTTTATGTTAGCTTTGCCTTTAGAAAATAAATTTATTTTAAAATAATTGGCAGTTGATCTATTTTTTTCTTTGGCAACTAAAACCCAAACCCTATAGAAGCAATCATAAGAACTTACAGTCAGTGGTTAATTTGATGTCTCTACTTTTAAGGGAAATGAAACTTGAAATTATGCTCTTTTGTCTCGATAAGTCGCAGATTGCATGAAAGCCTGAGGGAAAGAGATCTATTGATTTTATTTATTACATTTGACTATAGCATGCTTGCATGCTGGTGTGCTGTGCAGTTTGTTTTGTTTTCGAATGCAGTTGTACTTGGCCCTTAAAATTAGAGGATCACTCTTTATTTAGCTTCGTAATCACTCTAACAGTTTTGGCTGTGGTTTTGTATTAGCTAACCAAAACACAGACGGACTTCGAAAAATTCTTGGAAAAATAAATTTAAAAAGCGAATGGAATCTTTCCACCAACTCTTTGAAGCCTCCTTATTATACTAGCCAGCTGTGAATGTGGTCTTGTGTTACATAATATATGCAGATTTGGGATATCTTTTGGTGAAATATTTAATGGTAGAATAGTGATTAACAAGTAGAAGTTAAAATAATTTGTCCTAGATTAAACCCATTGCCAGGAATTGCTTCAAATTCAAAGCACCCCTATAGAGTCGACAAGGATGTAAATCTTTATGGGGTCAGACAGCCTCTTGAGGATGTGGCTGGTGGGTTTCAGTCATCAACCTTGCAGTTACCACCCAAATGCTTAGCCAGCAGCACCACCATGGCTCTTCATCTTAGATAGCCCTCACTGCTTAAATGAGCTTGAGGGCTTCCTTGTGAATTATCTGACAATATGTTGCCCTCTAGTGGTCCTAAACTTCACTTACTCTTTGAGTGGCTGATAAAAGAGTTAACTTTGATGGTGTTAATTACCCTTGTTTTTAACATGTTAGAAACATGATCCTAGAAACATGTTTAAACATGTTTTGGTTGGAATAAACCCATGCATGTGTGAACTGGAACCTTAGTAGCAGTACTTTTGGGTTTCCCTTATATAACTAGAAACATAATCTGTTAGAGCATTCTTCAGATTGATATGAGCTCTTCCCTGCTGTACAAAGATGATGAGAAATGAGAGGAAGAGGAAAATCTCAGACTAAAAACCCAGGCAGCATATCTGTGTTAGTCTAGGTACTTTAGAGAAACAAATCCGTAGAAACTCATATAAGAGAGAGTTTTATATAAAGGTTAAGTGCACATCAAGAAAACATCCCACCCCAGTGCTGCCCAAGCCCACAAATCCCACATTAACCCATATGTCCGACACCAATCCACAAAGTCGTCCTCCATCTCACAAAACACAAGGATGCCGACTGCAGGAGGAAAGCCGAGTTAGTGAATGTGTAAGCATCTCAGCGCTGGCAGGGGTCTCCACACGGGTGCTCCAGCACCCAGGGCTGCATCGGGGTAGGGTCCATGTGGCTTCTCCTCAGGGATGTCTTGCAGGAAGTGAGCCTTGCCAGCTGAAGCAGAGAACTGGCTAAGGCAGCTGCACCCTGGTCTAACCATCACAAAGCAAGAGATCCGAGAACTAGAAAGGCGAGGCTCATTGAGCCATTTATCCCTCCGCCCTTCAATGAACCCCACATGTGTCTATTGGCCAGGTTGGCACAATAAACTACTTCAATATCCAATACTGCAATGTTAGATTGGAGAGAAAATTAAAACTGAAAAGAAATAAGCTGAGATTTGTATCTTCATTCAGGTATTCCTCTTTTATGGATCTAGAGCTAACCAAAGGCTTTCAGCTCTTCTAAAAGTAGTGATACATAAGAACCAAGTCACCATCTAACTCTTTAAATTTCAAGGATGCTGGCTAATACTTTTATTGATATCTCTTAATCAGAATGCACTGCCCTTGAGTCAGTTCCAAGAGTAGAACTGCCCATGTGGGTTTCCAAGGCAGTAAATCATTATAGGAGTAGAAAGCCTCATCTTTCTCTTCTGTGGAGTGGCTGGTGGTTTTGAACTGCCAACCTTGGGGTTAACAGCTCAACACATGTACACTATACCACCAGAGCTCCTGCTTTGCCTTAGCTTCTCCCCGCCCCCCCACCAAATGTCTGTTACCAGATTGTAGCTTCTTCATTCAGGAAAAAAAATAATATTGGAGTTATACTTTGGCCTTCTTGGACACGTGCATACTAATAACTACAAGGAGTCTATTCTGTTAGTTTGGGCCTCAATTTTGGAAAATGTTACTTAAGCCAATAACACAATAAGAAACTAGTTCTACCATACCCTTAGCATATAGAGGACAATAACTATCTTAAACTAAATTTACTTCTAAGCATTTATTATTGCTGCACTTACAACCCTATACCCAAGAATGATTTATTTAAAAGTTCTCTACTCAAAGCCTTTCCTTTCAGAAGTGTTGGGAGAATTTAAAGAAAGACATCTGAAGCTGCTGTTGGAAAAAAAAGGACAGAATTTGAGAGAAGGAATAAAAAAAATCAGAATGCAAGATGAATGTAATCGCTATGATTTAAAACCATGTTAATGTGGAAAGGTTTCAAATAAACATAATCTTGATTCCTGTGCTGATGGTTTCATAACCCAAGTGTACAGATCATCTTGCTAGCATCAGGCCTTTAGAGTCTACACACACTTTATTCAGGGTGGCCTGGCAATATGTGTAGTAGCATCAAATTCTTAAGGCAGCATAAAGATGTTATCACCTGTCATGAACAGGTCATTGGCATCCATAAACTCTGTATAAGGGAAAGAAGAAAATGAATAATTAATATAAAACATTCTACTAAGTAATTTAAATTTTATTAGCATAGTTTACTATATTTTATTTAAGATTTTCAGTTCATCGCTTCTTCAGGAAATAAGACATTCAAATATAAAACTTTACAAAGGGTCAGTTTTAAATTGAATGTTATTTTTAAAGTGTGTCTAAACATAAAAATACTCATATAATAACACTTTTCTTTTTCTGATCTCTCTCAGAATACCCAGAGGATAAGTAATTCTCAAGCCACTCAACCTCTTGCTACTCCAGTGGTGTCTGTGACAACCCCAAGCTTGCCTTCCCAGGGACTTGTATATTCAGCAGTGCCTACTGCCTACAACACTGGTAACCCTGTCCTCTTGCCTATCTTGTGTTTATTTTTCTCCTTTGTGCTCAATACATCCTTGGTGATTTTGAAAAAGTGTACTCGTGAAGAAATAAATTACACGTTTCTCATATTTACATTTATTTTTTAAAGCATATGCTAACCTAGCAAAAGTTAAAAGTATTGATGGTAACAATGAATTATGGAAGTTACTCCTACTTCTCCAACAACAGCTTTCACTTACCCCTGAAAATAAAACAAGCAGCTCTTAAAAACCACGGAGGCTGATCGCCCACTGCTCAGTATTTTCTATGTAGTTTCTTACTACATAGTATCTGACGCCTCTAGAATTTTCCAATGAAATTATTTTCTTTCTTTATGGAGTAGCTAGTTTGGGGATGAACATGAATTCGTTTGGACCCAGGACTTGGAGATGTGGTGAATGTAGAGCTATGCTAGGCAGATTGTGTTTTTCTTAATGCTTTAAGTAGTTCGTGCCTAGGAAGCAAAATCATAAGCAAAATCATTAGCAATTCCTTCTTAGAACCAGTGTCTCGTTATTCTTTATGTTTAGGTTTTCCACCTTAAGATAGGGAATTGTAAAAATACCACAGTGACTGGCGGGGTGCAGGTGGTAAGCAGTCAAGTGGGCTTTGGGGAAAATCCTAGTGTGTAGTGAGTTTCCTTTCACTTTGCCACTTTAAAGGAGTGTCAGAAAACACACTCTTGTTAACACGTTCTTCATAGCTAAGCCAACCATCTGATGCTTCAGAGGAAGATGGAAATAGTTCAACTATAGTCATCCCTCATTCTGAGATTGTTTATAAATGGAACATGTTCTTTATGTTGTTCATAAGCAGTCTACAATAAAGGCTATCACATTTAGACTGGGGACAAATCCTTTAGCTGCTATCTGGAGCTACCTGGAAGGTACAGAGCAATTAATACATTGAACTTTGCTTTTATTTTTTTTTTTTTTTTTTTAACATTTTATTAGGGGCTCATACAACT